TCTTCCAGTTAACAATACATACAGTCTGAAGTTAAATTTTTTAGATTAATAAACTATCCTGGATTTTTCCCAAACTTGGACAGAAGCTTCTTAAAATAAAAAAAAATTGTATTGAGAGGAATATTTTTATTGATTTTTTTCCTCATTTTTGTTGAGCCTGCGATTTACAGCAAAAGTAGGCGAGACACTGGGTTCCACGGAACCCTTACGATTTGTTTTTATCTGAACACGATTTTTTCGTTAAATATTAAAGGGTGTCTTTTACATGGTAAAATTACACTACTGTCTTATGGTATGTATGTTAATTCTTTTAAATCAGGTGTATTCATAAGCACATGTCCCAAGTCCGAAGCATGCTGTTTAGTGTTGTCTTTTTTTGGTGCAGTTCATATTTGCTTTTTGTTTCTGGTTTGAAGTTAAATTAGATCTGTTTGTTTTTTTCCTGTTTAAATTGTTTTATAACAGTGTTTTGGGGTCCTCAGTAGGATGCTGTCCAATGTGAGCCAAGCTTTTGTGTTGAAGGCTGAATTATAACCTTTAACTGCTAATTTTGACTACACTGTGTTTTGATGGAGAGTTGTCTTCCTACCACATTTAAAAAGATATTCCCTGACATTTGACAAATCCATTAGAATAATCGAGATATTGAAATTGAACTGAAGTTGCCTAATAGGTTTCTTACATTGACCCGGCTATCCTTTTTCTCTCTTGCTGGATAGTTTTATACTGGTCATTTGGGGGCACTGTGTAGCCTACTGATCAGTGAGATGGCTCAAAATCTTCTTACACTATTTTACATTTTCGTACTTAATATATTAAAACCGAAAATTCATCATCTGATCGTCTTTATGAAATAATAATTATTTATTTTTATTTTGACGAACATTTTGAAAAGCATTAATTACTACAGGCCGAACATATAGTTGGATAATCTGTTCCCTGACCAAGATAACTATAAATAGAAATTAATTTTTCTTATCTCTGCCTGCATCTGTCATCACTCTGTGTCTATTAATTAATAGACATTGACAAGGAAATAACGTTGCAATATTTAAACAAAGAAAATTGCAATTTTAAAGAAAATAAAAATTATTCAAGGACGTATATCAATTTAGATTATAAACGTCCTTGGTCTATCCTAGACGTAAAATTTCAATATAGTGCAAGAAAGACTTCATTTTAATTTCAGTATTGTCCTTTAGTTAGTCCCACAAGGACGTTGAGGTATGAAAATTATGAAATAGCCTGCTTCGTACATTATGTACATTTTCCCTAGACTCGGAATCTTAAGTGAAATGCTAGTAATACTTCTTTTATAGATTTTAGTCTTAACAAATCGCGTTTTGAATATTAATCGCATTGTTTACGTGAAATCTTATCTCATATCAGTAAACACAGCTGGTTTCAACGTTTGACTCTAATTAGAATAACTACGCGTATATGTAAGGTAAATATTAGCAGCTTGTAATTGCGCCAGTCATGCTTCAGTGATTCCCTATATAATCAACCAAATTTTTCCCACAAAAGGGGGGCCCGGCCCCCCAGGGCCACCCCTGGATGCGCCTATGATCATATGTAACATATCTCTATAGCAACTTTAAGATGCTAATGATTCAACAGGTCAAATTATAAGCTATTGCGCATGTATATGAAAGGTGGCCATAGAAAGAAACAGATGTATTCCGAATAACATCCGGTGTTCCGAAAGACTACGGACATGGTCCAATATATACTGCATTAACCCTCAGGGGTTTACGCAACAACAACCAGTGATGACTAAGTTCTCTAAAATTAGATATGATTTAACACTCAAACATTGTTAGAATCAGTATATCAAAGAACCAAAGAATTCAATTTTTGATGAAATTAAACAAAAGTTTAGTTTAGGACCCTTTGGACCTCAATGTGGTATTATCTTATTAATAATGAAAAGCTCGACTGTTTACAAGTTCTTAAACAGGAGGAGGGTGGGGGTGACCCAAGGGAACTCGCCTTATATTTCATTTGATTTGTTTTATTGTCCCATACAAGAATATATATGGTTTCGGGGTGGGGATCTTGACCATTTACAAGTTTTCAAAAAGAAGGGGGATGGGGGTTACCCCAGGGGGCTTTCCCTAAATTTCATTTGATTTGTTTAATTGTCCCATTCAAGAATATATATGGTTTAGGGGTGGGGATCTTGACCGTTTACAAGTTATCAAAAAAAAAAGGTGGGGGTTACCCCAGGGGGCTTTCCCTAAATTTCATTAGATTTGTTTAATTGTCCCATTCAGGAATATATATGGTTTAGGGGTGGGGATCTTAACCGTTTACAAGTTATCAAAAAGAAGGGGGTGGGGGTTACCCCCATGGACTTTCTCTATATTTCATTTGATTTGTTTTATCGTCCCATACAAGAATATATATGGATTAGGGGTGGGGATCTCGACCATTTACAAGTTCTCAAACAGGAGGGGGTGGGGTGACCCCAGGGGACTCGCCTTTTATTTCATTTGATTTGTTTTATTGTCCCATACAAGAAAATATATGGTTTCGGGGTGGGGATCTTGACCGTTTCCCAGTTTTTTTTAAAAAAGGGGGGTGGGGGTGACCCTCCTGGACTTCCCCTATATTTCATTTGATAAGGACCCTTTTGACCTCAATGTGGACCAATTTGATAGCGGGGCCCACAAATAAAAAATCTAAATACATGGTTAGATTCAGCATATCAAAGAACCCCATATATTCAATTTTTGTTGAAATCAAACAAAGTTCAATTTTGGACCCCAATTTGAACCAACTTGAAAACTGGGCCCAAAATCAAAAATCTAAATACATGTTTAGATTCAGCATATCAAAGAACCTCATATATTCAATTTTTGTTATAATCAAACTAAGTTTAATTTTGGACCCTTTAGACCTTTATGTAGACCAATTTGAAAACTGGACCCAAAATTAAAAATCTAAATACACGGTCAGATTCAGCATAACAAATAAATAAATGTGGTCAAAGATTTTACAAATCTAATGCGCCATACTGTGCAATTAAAGATTACTTCTTGAAATTTTTCAATATTTGAAATTTGAAAAAAAAATAATATTTGAAGAATAATTCTTTTTAATTTCTGAAATCTGAAATGAGAAAAAATTGACCCCCACAATTTCTTTTTACCCCCCCCTCCCTTTTTCCCCAAAAAAATTCTTTCCCTCAAGATATGGTCATAATCTCAATTCAAATTTCCAATGGAATTTGCAACCATAATTACCCATTTAAATTTACCATAGTGCTAACTTAATCTATTTTAAAATAGAATTTAAAATATGGTGTCAAATCTTTCATATGGATTTTTTTGTAAAAAAAAGAAAGATGCAACATTTGCAGATATTTTTACTGGTCTTCCTTTATAAATATGCATTTCTTTAAACATAATTTAAAAGCAGTGTAAGGGAAGAAATCAAAACGTTGTATTTGGATTACCTCCCTTACACTGTTTTAAATTGTCTTAATTGTTCATTAACCATTACTTTATACATAATTTAAAAGCAGTGTAATGGAGGTAATTCAAATGATGTATTTGATTTATCTCCCTTACACTGCTTTAAATTATGTTTTGTACTAAAATATTTATCCATTAACCAGGACAACCTTGTTTTTCCCCCTTTTTTGCCTCTAATTCCTAAACGGTTTGAGCCATAACCCCCCAAAGCAAACCCTAACCATCCCTTTGTGTTATGGAAACTTGTGGTATAATTTCAGAGAGATCCATACACCGTTCCACAAGTTATTGTCAGGAAACTAGAAAATGCTTATTTTTGGCCCCTAATTCCTTAACTGTTGGTACCATAACCCCCAAAATCAATCCCAACCTTCCTTTTGTGGTAATTAACCTTATGGTTAAATTTCATAGAGATCCATTCACTTAAACTAAAGTTATAGTGCGAAAACCAATGTGTCTTTGCACGACGACGACTTATAAGTCACATTATTTCCTAAAATTAAGGTAAAAGAAAGTAATATCATTGGCATTACTTTCTCTTTACATATAACACAGCATGTTTTTGTTTTGTGTCATTGAACAATTGAATACAGCATTTGCATTGTTTCTAGCTATGATTCTCATGAAATGTCTACAGTTGTTTAAAATGATGCTCAAGTTTTTTTAGTGATTGTTGAACAGTAAACATTTATTTTCCAAGATTAAATGCATAATTGGAACTAAAATTTATTTCTAAATTTCACATATATCCCATATGCTCCCAAATATCTGACTTTCAGTATAGTACAGGTAGTGTTGATTTTTTCTTTATTAAAGTGCTGGAATTTACTGTTTTTATTGATAAGATACATGGAATATAATTAAATGTTATTTGTATTTATACATTGTCTCAAAATGTAAAATTTGTTTGTACAAGGCTTAGAAACAGGTAGAATGTGAGGAATGTAGGAACCAATCATTTTGAATTTGAAGTGCTTGATGTAAAAATGTCACGAACCTGCATCTTTTCACAAAGTCATAATTGAATAAAACTCTACAGAAACACATTATCATAAACAAAGCTTTATCATAAAGAATTTGAATTTTTACTGTCAGTGACTGCATATCACAAATGCTTATCTGGTCAATGCATTGTGACTGTATAGCAGTATAAAAAAAAAAATTTGACAATGTAATGGGACTGGAACAATCATTTTTTTATAGGTACAACAAAATGAGGTAGTATTCCTTGAATTTTCGTTAATTAGATTTTCCCTCTCTGCAAAACACCTCTTTTTTCTTGTTGATTTACTCTAAAGGTTTCTATAACTTATGTGAAGGGCATTTGGTTGATATTTTCAGATTTTTAATAGAATACAAGAAATATTCCATAAATTACATGGAGAGAAGGGTTCAAGGTAAACACAGTACGTTTTAGTGAGCTATTGTCTCAAAGATGAATCCAATGATCACCCTTAAATCATAAGCTATCCCATGCAATATGATGAGTCTTTAGTTATAATGGTCAAACAATGCATTTACCTCCATAATGTACTATCTGTAACAAATCCATGCTCTGTCTGGCGAGTTAAAACAAACACAACCTGTAAAAATATACATGTTATTCAGCATACAAAAGTTTTTAAACATGATATTTATTGAATTAATCTTCATTTACCTCAATTCAGACACTGTTCTATTTATAAAGGGACATAACTCTGAAAACATTGAATGTGCTGCCACCCAAATTCGAACTTGACCTGTGTTTGGTGGCAGTAAGCATAGTGCATGTTTCATAAGAATTGGTTATGGTAAACTAAAGTTAGAGAATGGAAACCAATTTTGGGGTATACAAACAAGGGTAAATCCTAATGCTGGGCATAAAAATAGAACTGTTCTCAAATGGCCATATCAGTGCAGAAAATCAACCGTTTATCCCTCCAAAATAGCGAACAAGGGAAATAACTCAAACTACATCATTCAAAACCTATCAATTAATCAATAGACTGATGAGTACACTAGTACTACTGTCCCCTGACTTGATATATATCGATCAGATTTGAGACAGATTTATCAGTTTATATGCATAAATATATCAATTAATGTCTTTTACCTCAGACTAACTGACATTATGTAATAAATGGTCTGATTATTTAAAACACTTGATAGAAATTTCAATTCCTTCCAGAGTTTTATCATGTTTTTCAAGTTACAATCCTTAAAATAATGTAAATTGTAAAAAAATATAAATGAAATACAAATTTAACCACAGATTTGTATAGTAAAAAGGTTCTTGTTACTACGTGTATACAAATCCTTGATTAAACGAAGAATTATATAAGAATAGAAATGATATTATTTGAGAGATCTTTACTTCATTTCAATGCTAAATATGAAAATTATAGGATTTATTTACATGAAGTCATGGATAAATCTTCAATTTCTGAAACTATGCAAGATTTGTTAAATTTCTTAAGATGACTTAACAGAGCATTATTTAGTACATGAATGGGAACAGACTGGAAATATGTACATTTATGTAGCTTTTAAAAAGAACACTGAAAAGTTGATAAAAATTTTGATAACAAATCTCCAGTTGGTCCGAGTACACAGTTATCATCCTTTGATTTTTGTTGTCCACGAATATAGTCCCTAGTGTGGACAGTGTGTTACTTGCTAATTTTTTTTATACCCCTTCCAAATTTATTTCTCCATGTTTTATGACTCAAATAGCAAGAAGGGGGTGAAATGACACTGTAAAAAAATTTGGGTCATGAATTTTAAAGTAAAGTAGTGATTTGGTCCAGCTGAAAAATGTTAAAAATTAGCACTTCGGAAGCTGTCAAAAGATTTGAAGACCCCCTTAACATAAAATTGTCCATATTTTGAGTTAGAGCCGATGAAGTTTTCTATAATTTTGATATAATTTGTCCCAAAAGTAGTACAACACACTGTAAAAATATTATTGAGAAAGTGCAGGTGGGATTTTTTTAATTTTCATTTATTGTCTAAAAGAAATGCACTACGAAATAACTGTTTACGGACCAAAGAGGTGAAATCAGGAAATATAGAATCTGTACTTTGGCAACTTCCCCGAATGATTTGATGGTGTCAATTTGTCAAATAGCATAAAACTAAAGTATTTAAACTTTTATTTTCGTAGAATTTCTGCAAAAATGACCAATTTGGGCATTTTATGGTCAAAATAAATGTGGATAGTGTCCACATGTGGACACAGATGATGCCCCCGCTTGCATATCATATAGTTATAAAGGGACATAACTGAAGAACGGTAAAAGTGACGCTACCCAAATTTGAACTTGATCTGAGTTTTGTGGTAATAAGCATTGTGTGTAAGTCTCATAATATTTGGTTGAGGCTAACTTAAGTAGAGAACAGAAACTAAAAATTCAGCAATTTTTCTATTTGTAAACACTCATAACTCTAGAACGGTTGTGTATAAGTTTTACAACATTTGTTTGAGACAAACTAAAAAATTCAGCAATTTTTATGTTTATAAAGGGACATAACTCTAGAATGGTAAAAGTGTTGCCACATAATTTCGTACTTAATCTGTATTGTGTAGTAATGAGCATTGTGTATAAGTTTCATAACATTTGGTTGAGGCAAACTCAAGTTAGAGAACTAAAACAAAAAAATTGTACTTGATCCTTACTGAGTTTTGTGGTAATGAATATTGTGTATAGGTTTCATAATGTTTGGCTGGGGAAAACTTCAGTTACAGAATGGAAACTAAAAAATTTTGCAATCTTTCTATTTATAAAGGGGCATAACTCAATAATGGTTAAAGTGACACTACCCAAATTCAACTTGATCTGTGTTTTATCAGTGGAAGTCAAAATTAAACATTGCATTGTATAAAGCAATGATTGTAGTTGATTCAACTATAATCATGGTCAAAGGAAGATAACTCCAATTTTAAAAATATATTATATAAACTTGATATTTAGAAGAAAATAAAAATTTTGCAATTTTTCCTTTTATAAAGGGGCATAACTCTAGATCGGTTAAATTGACACCACCAAAATTCAAACTTGATCTGTGTTTTGTGGTAATAAGCATTGTGTATCAGTTTCATAACATATGGTTGAGGCAAACTTAAGTTAGAGAACGGAAACTAAAAATTTTGCAATATTTCCTTTTATAAAGGGGCATAACTCTAGATCGGTTAAAGTGACGCCACCAAAATTCAAACTTGATCTGTGTTTTGTGGTAATAAGCATTGTGTATAAGTTTCATAACATTTGGTTGAGGCAAACTGAAGTTAGAGAACGGAAACCAATTTCGGGACGTACGGACGGACGTACGTACGTACGTACAGACGGACAAGGGTAAAACTTAATGCCCCCTCCGCTACGACGGGGGCATAATAAGCATTTTATAGCTTTTTCAATTTTGATGCATAAGTGGCATTCTAACTTTCTATCTGACAGGTTTTTATGTGTCAATATTTGTGTTTCTATGCTTTAATCCAGTTGTATTACTCATTTGTGAACTCTGAATCTACAGAAAAGAAGATTATCTCATACAATATGTGCAAAATGTGTTGTATATATGACCCTCATCTAACGCCCTGTTTGGATCAAGTTAAATGTGAGGAGCTTGGAACATAAAAGTTGAAGTCCATAATAAAGACCTCACTGAATTTGTATAAAAAGTACTTAACAATGTCTTTTGTACCTGTTTCATGTCACATAATATCTTTCTTTTCTTCTGTAGGATAGCAAGTGGTTCAAATATAAGCCTGTTGAGACTAAAATTGCATGCATGTTTTTCACTAAAAAGTGAAAAATCTTTGTATCAGACCATACTGTCTGCAAAAAAAGTTGAATGCAAGAGTCTTTTTGTGCTCAGATTTAATGTATCATGTCACCTGAGTATAGAAATGATAGAAAAGACACAAATTTTTATTTCCTATAGCCTCAATATGCATTTTTAAATGTACATTGTAAATATGTGCTACGGCCTAAATTGACCCTAAATTATTTTCAGTCTTACTTGGCCTAAGACCTTTTTAAACTAATATGATATGTTATTTGTAAGTTTTCTTTCCATTTAAAGTACATTAAATACATATGTAAGGATTATTTATAACCAAAAAGCTTTACAAATTTAAAATTTCTGGAAAATATTACATCTTCATGTAAGGCCCCCCTTCACTGGAAAACCTCCATTTTTAGGCACAGGCTCATAACAATTTGACTTTTTAATAATTATGATAAGTCTGATAAATCAAATGAGTACTCTATTGCTTTTAATACATAATATATTATATATTAAGGCATTTCAAAAGTATTTTTTTGCAATATTTTAATTTTTTAAGCCCCAAATGTTGATAGTTGAAATTTTTCAATTTTAACGTCTAAATTTAACACGCAAAGTTGAATATAGAATTAGTCATATTGTCTATAATATATATCCTATTGCCATGAAACTTTGTAAGCAGTCTTATAATTTATTAAGCTTTGGCCATACCAAGTTTCATTAAGATTGGTCAACTTTTTCTACCCTATTAGGTCCGAGTACACAGTTATCGTCCTTTGATTTTCGTTGTCAACGAATATAGTTTTCTATAATTTTGATATAATTTGTCCCAAAAGTAGTACAACACACTGTAAAAATATTATTGAGAAAGCGCAGGTGGGATTTTTTTAATTTTCATTTATTGTCTAAAAGAAATGCACTACGAAATAACTGTGTACTCGGACCAGTTATGAGGCCCCAACTCCAGCTTAAAATTTTCAAATCTCCAGTTGTGACTTGACAATTCTGTAACATGTCTGAGATTATTAAATCTTGAAAATGTTATTTTTCCTCAGTCCCTCCAAAATATAACCTTATCACCTGAACTTGGTGATTACATGTATATTCTTCTTCTTCTTTCTGTACAGAAAACCATCAACATTTTGAAGTTTACTTTCTGGCGAATTGAATTGAATATTATTTGAGAGATCTATACTTCTTTTCAATGCTAAAATTGAAATTCATAAGAAATTTATTTCCATGGATAAATATCAAATTTTTGTGACCATGCAAGATCTGTTAAATTTCTTTAGATGACTTAACAGAGCATTATTTAGTACATGAATGGGAACAGACTTTAATCATTGGGGAAAACATAAAGACCAACAGAAAGGACATATGCAACAAATCAAGTACAAATAGTAAAACTCATTATGGACGTGACTAGATACATGTACAATGTAGCACCCATGACACATAAATTGTATTGTTGATAATATATTAAATTTATATTTTGATTTATAGAAAGATGCTTGAAAACTTTATTTATATTGTTAACTGTCGTGAATAATAACAAAACTGATATATAATTTTATTCCAGTATTGTTTTTTTTTCCATAAAATACTATGTACATTTGTACTAAACATTGCCCAATGTCAAGCGACAATGGGAATGACGAATTATTGGAGCTTTGTTTGGGAGACTTCGTAACAGCATTCTGTTACAATTATTTCTTGTTAGGCCAAAAAAATATATATGTCTGTTTAAGGTTACATACTTTAAAAAAATAGGGTAGGTAGCTCGGTATTTCCATTTTATTTTTTGTGACATGATTTGGAGTCATGCCGTTTCGTCTTGTCGTGGTCCGAGTTGATCATGGGACGAGTTTACCCTTAATTTTAATGATTGGATTATTTCTCTTGGTAATTGGTTGGAAAAAAATGGCGGCAAAGTGTTTATTTCATCACAAGAGTTGCGAATTTCCTTAAAACAGCTGTCATATTCACGATTGTGAACATTGGGATGTATAAGGCAATTGATTTATATTATTTGCAACACTAACTTCGCTTTTGACACGAGTTCAGTTTATTTTTCATTTTACAACCGAAATAAAATGACTTAGGGTCGGCACTCAAAAGTAGGGTCAGTCAGGTAACCGTAAACAGACATATATTTTTTTTGCCTTACTGATAAGTTTTATAGATTTTGAAATGACATTGTATTAATGATAAATAAAATTTTGGATTTTTTTCTTCTTTTCTTTGGTAAATTGTTTGTAGAATTTTGTGGCAAGTTTGTTTGTTATTCTGTAAAAACTAATTTTCTGAATGCTATATATTTTTTTTTTGATGGAGTAAACTCCTTTAAAAACTAAGCCTATATTGTCTATTAATAAAAATATATTTAGATTTCTGATTTTGGGCCCACTTTCTCCGATTGCATCATCAAAATATTGCATCACCGCTGACCGCATAAGCCATAAACAATTCAATAAATAATAGATTTACCAACAGCCTTTTTAAAATCCCTTTAAATATTTGTTATAAAATTTGGAAATTTTCCATTCAACGATAATTTCGACTTAAACACATAACAAGGTGTGTTTTGTTGTTTTGTTTGGAAAAGTACTTTTAAATAATAAAAAACACGTGTTTTACCTACACATACTACACATAAAAAAATTAATTCTTACCTTGCCATTTTCTCCAGACCAGTGTACAACAGCTTGAGAGTGGAATTTGTCGGGAATTCTGAATACACTCGATGACAACAACGAGTTATTTTTTACATTAGATTCTGTGGGAACTGAGCCAATGTCTGATAAATCTCTTCTTTTCCTATCGAAAACCTGATTAAGATTGTAATCTGTTAGGTCAACGATAACCGTCTGCTCATTTTGTTGCGATTCCCTGTTGAAAATTTTCCCCTGACATGTATATAAGCAAATATTTAACAAAACATGTAGTACTGTAAAATACACGAGTGTGTTTTGATCGGCCATTCTTTCTATGTTGTAGTACTCCGCGATGAAGGTCTACTAAAGTCTGATTGGATATATGCAAATCGTGTTTACAACACGTGATTAGATTGCATCATTACCACGTTCATTCATAAAAATCGGTACCACGTGAATAGAGACAAATGGCAAAAAGTGCAGAATAAAGGACAAAAATATAAAGAATAAAGAAAAAGAGGCCAAAAAATTAAAGACTAGAGAATAAAGGGTTGCTAAAATATAAAAAATAGTGAATAACAGACACAGTTTATAAAGAATAGTAAAAAATGGAAGTTAAAAAATTGAAGAATACAGCAGGGACTTTCCCTGAATACAGAAATGAAGAACCCCATCCTGATCTTCAAAGCTACCCGAAGAAAACCACTGTTTAAAATTTGTAGACAAAAAAAAATATACAGATTTTATAAAAGGCGAAATGATGCCCGAGCACATAAAAACTTTCTTTTTGAAACTCTCTCGGATCATACAACATTTTCATAATTTTCTTTAAAACTAGGCCACCAATTTTAGGCCAAATTTGGCATGGTATGCCCCATAAATGATGTATGGAAGGTTCTCTCTCAATACCTATAATTATTATGTAATTAATCCAAGCAAGAACAAATTTACTGGTTTGCCGTATTTAGATGTAACGTAGACGGCACAAGTGCAAAAGAAATTATCAATTTTCGTGAAGAAAATTATGAAATACTTTAAATAAGGGAGCTACCATTTGATTTTTATGGGGGGGGGGGGGGGGGCTAGGATGAAAAATTGTGTCCTGCATTTTATTTTAGTTGTAATCTCGATCCTGCCTTTTTATTTTTCACTTTATTCGGTCCTGGCTTTTTTTGATTATTTGATTAGTTTATCCTGACTTTTTATACTTAATTTGTCATCCTGTCTTTTTTTGTCAAGTTGCTCATCCTGCCGTTTTTTTTTACTCAAACCTTCTGTCCTGCCTTTTTTTTCAAATTTCATCCTAGGCCCCCCCCCCCCCCCCCCCCCCCTTGAATCTCAATCAATAGTTTGTTCGATAAAAATACATGTTGGCAGACTATATTTTAATTTATCTAAACCTGATTTCAAAAATTTCACTGAAACTATACAAAAGATATTTTGAAATTTCAAAAGATTGATCAGTGGCTTAGGAGTAGACTGAAGGGGGATGGTAAGCTTCTGAAAGCGACAAGCACAACAAAAAAACAACAAAAACAAACTGAATACTACACACATCTATATATTCTGATAATTTAGAGCTGGAGAGGGTGGAAGATACCAACGGGATATTTAAAGTCAATGATGACAAACTAACAACGCCATATGGCAACAACGAATACTTGTGACGACCAAAAGAAAATAAGACTGAACTACACGAACCCCACCAAAAAAGGGGGGTGTTGACCTCAGGTGCTCCGGAAGGGCAGGTAGATCCTGCTCCACGTGTGGTATTTATCGTAAAGTAAGTCAGTAATCTCGTTCATCTTCATCTTTTTGCCAAAAGTATACGGAGGGGGAGTAACACCATTATTTTGACCCTCCTACCTCTTTTGAAATATGCGGGAGGCCTCAATGGCAAATTTACCATTAAGGGTTACCTGGGAATAGTATACAGTCAATATATTATATTCCAGTGATACCTATATTTCTAATAATACATACCAGTAAATATAATGTGGTTTTTTTATATTTTATTGTAAGATTTGTATATATTGTATTTAGTTTTTATAATTTTTCAGATGGACTAAAGGAAAGACATGGTTTGTGCTTACTTTGTTTCCTAATAAACAAATTCATTATTTACTTATTAATTTACTAATCGATGGACAAACATGACGACAATGATGGCATATATAGATCCAACTGAAGCTCTATTGAAAGTCACATTTTCAACTTCTCTTAAAAAATTTTTAAGTCAAATTCGACCAAATGTTTCTGGATTGATTACGTTTTCGAGTACCGGAGGTTTTCATGCAGTTCATTCTGATTGAGCAATATTAGTTAACATCTAACACTCAATATAAGTTTAAAAAATATTATGCATTTTGCAATTATATCTTGTCTGCGTGCTATCTTTGCATTTACTTTTCAAAGCGGTTTGAAGTATCCAGTACCATGAGTAAGTTGTGCCACTACATATTCGGCGCACAATAGGAGATTAAAACTAGAGGATCTAAAGAGTCTGTGTAGATCACTTAGGTCTATGTGCACCTTCAACAATGGACACCCTCCATCATTGTAGACTGAAATAAAATTATGTCAAAGATCTCTTTTTTTGTTAATCTTGTCTTGCTGATCATTTTTCTACGCACAGTTTCTCTATATCTTCTCTAGTTTTTGCCCATAACACAAAACAAGGGTTTTAAAAATCGTCATTTATAAAGATTCCACTTACGATTTCGGCGAAGCCTGTCGCATTTGTAGATCTTGTCTTGCTGATCATTTTCGCTGTATAAAGTGTCTATGTATAATATATAGTTTTCTAGATGTAGATAGTAGGCACAAACGCAAAAAAGACATGGTAAAAATCGTCATTCAAGAGCAAGAACTCTAAAAAGGAGTCGTCTGACGATTTAGGCCATGTTCACTTATTTGTAGATCTTGTCTTGCCGATCATTTTTGCTATTTTTACATACCCTGCCACGTCCTGTCTATGTTTTAGTTTTTTAATCATAATGGAGTTTTTTTCTTTTCTTTAGAACACACTAGAACAATATTTTTTTTTAATCTCAGTGTCGTATTTCTTTTTGTCTCTTATATTAAAATGAAATTAATAAGTTTATTCACGTTTTTCCTTAATGATTAAGGACTGCTAAACATTTTTGTATCGCCCTGAAACATAAACACATTTAATCAAATTAGTTAACATCTTACACATTTATGGATACACATACATTGGCATACTAACGTTCCCTCCAATATATTTGTTTGTTTGAATAATAAGCAATATTTTTGGATATATATAAATAAAAAAAAGATAAAAAAACAAGAATGAGACATAATATTTATGTTTACATCAGTTATATTTTCAAAACCGGGAGGCGCCTGATCTTTTTAATAATCTCGTTAACTTGAAAAGCAAGCCTCAAAATCATAGAGATAGTGATTTTAGAAACTTTTAACGGACTAAGTTAGGATATTTGCCGTTCTTGATAAATCAGCTAAGATTTTCTACATAATAAAGTTCGACATGGTCGTGAAATTTTGTATTTTTTTGGAAAAATTGTTGCGACTCATCTAATTCAAATTAATATATCTGACTGGATAATTATTTACATTTTCGAAGTTCAGACCGAAACAGACCCTTTTCATATTTAAATTAATTTAGTATTTGTTTCAGTTTCCTGATATGTTCGGATATACCAAGTAAACCATTAATGTTTTGTGGCAATTTTACAAAAGTATATAATTCTTCGTAACTGTGTGCTATTAGCGACACCAGGTATATACTTTTTAATGTTACGGTTATACCCTTCTAAAATAAAGTATAAACCTTGGTGAGCATCTAAACGACCACTACGGGAAAAATTACTCGTTTTTTGTTCAATGAATTAAGAACTTCTGGTGGCGTAAGGAATCTGCCACAGATTCCGAGACTGTCTTTGCATGTATTTTGTGTGGTGTCTCTCATACCAAATTTTAATGATTTAAGTTCAAGTGCACAGTTTTGCAATTTTTTTTTGTATGATTATGCAATGATTTAATTCAACTCCACAGTTATACAATTATTTTCATAATTCTGCCATGATTTAATGATTCAAGTGCACAGTTTTACAATTATTTGTAAAACTGATTGTAAAACTGATAGGCTTCATTCATTTAAATTTATATATTGTGCAATTTCCAGGGGAATTGTGCATGGTAAACAGATCGTATATGAAAATTGTAAAACAATGCACATGCCCAATTCAACAAACAATAGTAAAACTGTACATTAGACAATGTTAGATAAATATCAAAGCATGCACAGTTTTACAATTGTTTGATGATCTGGGCTGCATTACTTTACATGTATATATTAACTGCTCACTTGTACAATTTCCAGGGGGAATTGTGCAAATGTGTACAGATCGTATGAAATTGTAAAGCAATGCATGCCCAGTTCAACAAACAATTGTAAAACTAGGCAAGCCCGTTCTGCAAAATCATCCTCTCTATTGACGCTATATAATTTGGAATTCGTTCCGTACACGATTCTGTTAACTCTTGTTTATCTGGACTAAATAATTTAAGAGGCTCTGTTTGAGTGTTTAAATAACGAAAATCTACACAAAAATTAGGTTGCGTTGAGTTCACAAATAATACCTTGTATAAGAAGCCTTAATATTTGTACAACAGGAACATTGTCTGTGCAATTAACATGTCGGACACGGAACTCATCGGTCAATTGACTAAATTTGGCAATGATTTTACTTTTCGGAATAACAACAGAATTACTGCCTGGATTTTAATCTTAACCCGTACGGTTCTGTCCTGTGATATACAGTAACACGGCTTCACTAAAACTTAAACCCTTTGATAATATCTGAGTACTACTTTCACACATTCCTTGATAACCAAAGTGAATATTTCTTGGTAGTGTACCCCATATTATAATTTCTCTTTGTGGACCGACAGTAATGCGTTTCCTACACCTTATATTTGCATGCCTTTGAACAACTTCAGACTTTCCAAGTAATTTTGTTGTCTTTCAAATACGATGTCCTCAAAATAAATGGATGGGACGTTGCTCCGGTATATACACGTCTTGTAAACAATGTTTGTCACCCCTAAAGTACACTTTCACTGTAACAGTACCCTTTTTTCTGCACATTTGGTCATTAGACAACTTTATATTGTCACCATTATTTACATCAATCATCGATTTACACGTTTGTGGAATAGAATTGTATAAACTTGTGGACATAATACTGATTGAACTTTAAGAATAAAATAAGAAGTGCTGCAACTTGTACCGAATGAAATTTAACATGTAAATAAATAAACTTAGAGTTTGTTTGCGCAAATGAAAAA